AAAAGAAAAAGCAGAAATACATAAAGATACTTTAAAACATTCTGAAGGCTCTAGGTGGGTATAGAATATATACACATGAAAAATGATTTATCAAGTATATAATATTTTAAAATCTAATTGTCATAGTTCTCTCTTATATAGATGTTAAGCCTAGAGGCAATAAGTCATGGGGCAAATTTTCCTTTTGATGCCTCTTTGCCTCTCTTTTGTGTGGGGACTTATATCTATGTACTCCAAAACTGGAGGGTAACGTCATGCATAAGACACTACAATAATTTGGTTCTACTATTATGGACAATCCAGTGGAGACAGTCCAATCTTTGGGGATTGGGCTGCTTTGACAGTGGTTCAGACAAAGAGCAAGCCATTTTATGATGGATAGTCTTGAACATCTACATATAACTGGATTCCATGTTTTGGTGTGGTGGTGTGGGGCAATCCTATTGGTTAAGAAAGTTTTTGTCTGATCTGATGATGGCCCAGAAGAAGAAGTCATGCAGCAAGCTAATACAACATGATCAGACTGAATTTGTAATCACAACACTCTACCATCATCTGCTATATAGTCATAAAGTTTTTGGGAACATGGGGCAATTTCTACTAAGAACAACAGGTGGACAGTGGGCTGTTGTAAGTTTTTTGGGCTGTATGACCATGTTCTAGAAGCATTCTCTCCTGATGTTTCACCTGCATCTATGACAGGCATCTTCAGAGGTTGTGAGGTCAGGTGGACAAGTTGGAACAGGAGCAGGAGGCAAATACATACCATTCCCACTTAATGAGTGTGTCTTAACATAAATCCATGATCTGTTCTGATATTTGTTCTTTCTATAATGTTCATACTATGTCACAGTCTTGTTTCCTCACTTTGTCAAGCTCATTTCAGTAGCCTCCGATCACTATGATGGTGATCATGAATATAATCTGTTTTTTCCTGTGTTTCTGTCTGTGTTCATGGTCCAGCCTCAAGAGGACTCTTGTTTCAGTATTCAATAGAGTTGATATAACATGCATTTCAGTATATCTGTAGTTGAGACAGAAATAAAACAACTAGTTCTTAAAGCTAAATGAGACAACCACATTTTTAAGCCAAACCTTTCTAGCTAAATAGCAATGTTTAGAACATAGCTGGATAACCTTTTCTGGGCTAAAAAGCTACTTTTGATGTTCTGAGACTTAACAGAGAAGTACACATCCAATAGAATATGTCTATCTTGCATGACAAGCAGATCCAGTGCACAAAGCATGTGCATAATGGGTGGGCATTTCTGTCCCTTTCAGAACCATCATTTCAACTATTTCTGTGGAGTACCATCCTTTTCTGAGCCATTGTTTTTAAAACCGTATTAAGTTTAGTCTTATTTTATTTACATGTAGTTTGAATGATTATTATTACTTTCTCATTTGAAATGTCAAATATCATTGTACCTCTGTTTCCAAAGGTATAGTTACTTCGTTTATGCTCTCAATGAAACACCTTCATCGCTAGTACTACCAGCAACTCTTGCTTTTTCCATCTGCAACCAAACAAAACCAATTTCATTTTTTAGAAAACATTCTGGTACCCAAATGCCAAGGTTTTGTGTACTGTGAGAGCTGGAACCATGGCATCTCCTCAAACTAGAAAATTGTGAATTTTCTAGGAAACAAGGCAGTAAATGGGTGGTATATAGGAAAAGGAAGGTGAGGTGGAGGAGAAGGGATGAAAAACATGTGTGGGAGAAGTGCAATGTTTTTATGGCTGCTGTAAAACCTGATATTTTGTAATTCTGAAGGAAGGAGGGATGGAATGCGGCACTTGCTTTACACAGTGGTTGCAGAACCAATTTTTGCATCAGTAGGGAGGGAGTGAAGAAGAATTGGCAGCTACTACTTGGACCAGTATTTGTAAAGACTATATTCTACATCATATATGCAATAGAGGGGAAACTTACAGTGCCTGCTCAATTGATACGTCAAAAAATGCAGGGAGGAGAGTGGAACTTTGGACATTGCAGCAAATTTCAACTCTGTAGATACTGGAAGATGGACTTAATGTCAGGGGAAAACCTTTTCCTTTACCTTAGATACTGAAAGAGGAGGACCCGTAGGAAGCCACGGGAAAAATCTTGGAAGTCCACCTTGAGATACCCACAATCAATTTAGAGGAATCTGTGGGGAAATAAAACCAGACTTCCAGCGTACGGACACATATCAGTTTAAGTCAGTTATTTTTTGATCCTTCATCTCCTTGTCACTTGAGTATTTTTACTTCCTGAAGAACACCAAGCAACCTCATAACTTGTCACCAAGGGCAATTTTAAACATTTATTTTGAGCTACTGCTTGAGGCCAGTTGAATAGCTGCTTGGTTTACATCAAAAGGAAGATCTTCCTGGACATGTTAAAATTTTCTTCCAGCACTTTCAAGTTTAACCAAAGATCTTGGGACTAATGCTTATAATCAGTAAATAACATTTGGGGGAAACCTGACCTGATGAAAGACCTACCATCCTAAATTAAATCAGTGACCCTTCTAGCTACACATTCCGACTGTTGACCTGACTAGCAAAGGTTAGTTCACAAGTTAAATAAGTGTTCAACATACATTCCACTGGCATTGGGCTGTGAAAAATTATAAAGGAAAAACCAAATACTCACAGAGTGTATTTATTGTGCTGTATCTACACATCATTTCAGCAGTTTTACTATTTCTCATTCTTTGTCCCATGTTTGCAAGTGGTCATCTGTGTTTTCTTCTTCTTCATGGATGCATATAGAGGCATTTGTCTTAGCCCTTTAATTTGAATTCCCAATTATATTTAGGTTCCAGTAATAGCAATGACTTGCATTTACTCTAATTCTTCCTTTCTTACCATTATTCCCTCTTTCCCCATAGACTGTCTTCTTTCCCATTTTCTGTTGTATATTATATGCTCTTCTCGGACAGAATCTTCCTCACTTTTTTCTTCTTATATGCAGCCTTGTCAAGTGTCACCAGTATGAATGATACTGTAGAAAAACAAAGCACAATTCAACAGTAATATGTTTGTAATATTCAACAATCATGTTTACATTTCGCAGTATAAATCAGATCTATAAAATGTTAAATAAGTGTTCAACATACATTCCACTGGCATTGGGCTGTGAAAAATTATAAGGGAAAAACCAAATACACACAGAGTGTAATGTAATAGGCCTGAATCTATTTGCACATCCTAGGTAGAGTATCAGATCTACTTAATTTGGCTTTCTGAATTATACTTATTAACATAAATATAAATCCCACTGATTCCATGTATTTACTGGATTAATACTTGGATTTAGGCCATTGCCTTCAATACTGTGATACTGGGGCTGTTTTGTCCATTTTTGTAATTGATGTATTTATTAGCATGCATAATATATGATGTATTTATTAAATGCATTAGCATGCATTTTTCCTACAATCCCCAGAGCAGCTGGAAGATAAATTGAGTTTTCCAGTAACAGTGCATTCTTAGGAGTTAGTTCTACTGTAATCCAGAATATTTTGAGATATTTTTTTAGTGGATAAGCTTTACAAAAGAGCAGCTTTTGGCAGAAATAAATACTGTTAGAAATAGGTCTGATATGCAGATCAACTCAGCTGCCTGCATTTTGGGATTCTTCTTGGGCATTGTTGTTAGGGGTGTCATGGTGAGGTGCCTGTACTGAAACGTTACTAATATCTCACTGAGTATTGGGCTTCTTAATTTTCTTATTTATGCATGCTCTAGACCTTTCATACTACTATGTTATCCAGAAAGTATCCTTCCAGTGAGCATTATCCTGATAAGAATTTTTGATATACTGCTGCGCCCTGCTGGCTCAATGGGTTAAACCACTGAGCTGCTGAACTTGCTGACCAAAAGGTTGATGGTTCGAATCCAGAGCACGAGGTGAGCTCCTGCTGTTAGGCTCAGCTTATGCCAACCTTGCAGTTAGAAAACTTGCAGATGTGAGTAGATCAATAAGTACCACTTATGTGGGAAGATAACAGTGCTTCATGCAGTCATTCTTGCCACATGACCTTGGAGGTGTCTATGGACAACACTGACTCTTCGGCCTAGAAATTGAGATTAGCATCACTCCCCAGAGTTGGCCACGACTAGGCTTAATGTCAGGGGAAAACATTACCTTTACTTACAGCATCATTGTTTAAAAACAAAAAACAAAAATCAAAATGTCATATGCATGTAGGTCCAATCTCAGTTCTTGATGCAACATACCTTTTTAAAATGCATTGTTCCTTGAGATAAATAATTTGAGAAATTTGGGTTTAAGTTCACTCCCAATTTTGCAAATCAGAATGCAGTTCACTTCAAGCTTTGAAATAAAATCTCTAGAAAAATCTACCTAATGTGTCAGGTTCTTGCTATTTAGTTTGTTTTTCTAAATTCACTTTTTCTGTATCCATATATTTAAGAGGAAAAGAAAATGAAATTCCCCCTAGGTAGATTTTAAAAAAGATATGTAAACTTTGAATCACCTTTCTACTTCCAATTTTATTTAGCACATTTAGTACCTTGCTTCCACCTAGTGGGCAAAAGTATAACAGAACATGGCCAAATAGCATGGAAAACTCACAGTAACCCAATGAAAGCCTTTGACAACACAACACAAAAGTATAATGCTTTCTAAAGGGCAACAGTAAAAATGAAGTTAAAATAGTCAGTTGCACTCCCAACAGGGCCAAAATGTTGAAGAGTGAAGCAGTTAGAATGAATTATTGTCTACCATTTAGGTGAAGCTGAAGTTGTGCGTGTGTATTCTCTCTCTCTCTATATATATATATATACACACACAGAGAGAGAGAGAGAGTAGGGTAGGTAGTTGGAATATTAAACCAGTTTTTTGTTTTTGTTTTTTTTGGTTTTAGGTCTGGTTGACATCTTTTCTTGAGGAAATAAAAAATGCTTTACATTGCTTCAAAGTGACCATTTGAGGAGTAATGCTGGTCAACCCAACTTACCTGCTATATACATATTGATTTCTTTGCAGATTGTGCAGGCTGTGGAAGAGATATCAAGAACGGACAAGCATTACTTGCCTTGGATAAGCAGTGGCATCTGGGATGCTTCAAATGCAAAGCCTGTGCAAAGGTCCTGACGGGAGAGTACATTAGCAAGTAAGTAAGCCGGAGAAGTGTAGTCTTTGCCAAGGGTATCAAAGAGCTCCAGACCTTTATGGAGCAGGATGATCACTTACAGAGTTTTTTTTTGTTGCTACAACATTTCAAGTGCAGTGTTCAAAACACTGATCTATGCCCTATGGATTATTTTCAGAGATGGTGCGCCTTACTGTGAAAAGGACTACCAAGTTCTCTTTGGGGTCAAATGTGAAGCATGCCATCAGTTCATCACAGGGAAAGTCTTAGAGGTAAGTAATATACACTGCTAAGTGAAACTATGGTTCATCCATCTGTTTTGCTTCAAAAGGCAACTGAAGACAGAGGTGACATATAATGTTCAGTGTAAGCAGACTATGTTTTGTTTGAAATGGAGATCTGGGTGGTATATAAACCTGTACTGTAAACCTTTTCAAGATACACTTCGGCATAAAAATACTACAGGTGTATTGGCACTGTAATGTTACATAAGTGTAACCATATTTAACTGCCATGACTTTGATTGCTTTGATTTTGTATGGCCAAATGTTAGACTGGATCCCATTATTTCCATAGGGTTGCCATTCAATTAAAGTTGCCCCAAACTGCAAAAGATTTTCAGTGCAGATACACTGACATAATATGGTCTATTATGTTGTTGACTGAATCTGAAGTTAGCTGAATTTGAAAATGGCTGTTAACATTATATTTAGGGTTTTCAACATTGGAAGCCTTGACAGTCAAAACAGTTTTAGCTATTCAGGAGTTCTCTCCCTAAAACTCTGAAGCAAGCAACTGTGGATAAGTGAAACCATGTATATCCCATGGACACAGAATTAATCCTGTAGTATCAAATGTGATTTAAAACTCACCTGAAAACCTAGGCACCAAGAAAGGTCCTGAATAATCTAAAACAAATGGGCTCCATTAAATGTGAGATCTCTATCCGAACTCTTGCCTACGATTTCTAGCATCACTCAATGGTACATTTTGAAGAGAATAACACATTTTGTACAGCAACTGACTTAAAAATGAGAGGAAGCTGAAAGTAGCTGGCTATATACAGATAAGGGCTAGTTTCATTGTCAAGGACTATAGAAACCAGAGCTTTCACAGCAAAAAATACACCAGAGGGCAGCATCAATCCTTATAAGAAAATTCTGGAATATTTTAATATAGATTGAGGCTATTTGTCTAGCCTTAAATTCATCATCACTAGTCTGATGGTGATTGCAGAATTAATGAGAGCATAGCTATTAAGAAGTAACAACTTTCCAAATGGGGTTGCGGGGGCACAGCGGGTTAAGCTGCAGAACTTGCTGATTGGAAGGTTAGTGGTTTGAATCTGCAAGATGGGGTGAGTTCCCATTGTTTGCCTCAGTTTCTGCCAACCTAGTAATTCAAAAACATACAAATGTGAGTAGATCAATAGGTTTGTTGGTTAGGTGATCCCTTGTAGCTTGAGGATGATGGTTCTCCAAGTGATGTGTCTTGATCATAGAATCAAATCAAAGAGTTGGAAGAGACCTCATGGGCCATCCAGTCCAACCCCCTGCCAAGAAGCAGGAATATTGCATTCAAATCACCCCTGACAGATGGCCATCCAGCCTCTGTTTAAAAGCTTCCAAAGAAGGAGCCTCCACCACACTCTGGGGCAGAGAGTTCCACTGCTGAACGGCTCTCACAGTCAGGAAGTTCTTCCTCATGTTCAGATGGAATCTTCTCTCTTGTAGTTTGAAGGTGGGTCCGTAGGTGTCTGTGCAGTCCTATTCTTGATCTGCATATTCTCCTGCAGTGAGGACATTGGTTTTCAATTGGAAGGTGGTCCCAGTCAGAGTTGGCTTCATGTACCTTCTTCTTGGCACGTTTCTCTCTTTTGCCCTCCATTTGTGCCTCTTCGAATTCTGCAGCACTGCTGGCCATAGCTGACCTCCAGTTAGAGCGCTCAAGGGCCAGGGATTCCCAGTTCTCGGTATCTATGCCACAGTTTTTGAGATTGGCTTTAAGCATATCTTTAAATCTCTTTTCCTGTCTACCAACATTACGTTTCCCGTTCTTGAATTGAGAGTATAGTAACTAGTATGGGAGACAGTGTTTGGGCATTCAAGCAACATGGCCAGTCCAGCAGAGTTGAAGGCATAGGAGCATCACTTCAGTGCTGATGATCTTTGCTTCTTCCAGCACACTGACATTTGTCCTCCTGTCTACCCAAGAGATTTGCAAGATTTTTTGGAGGCAACGCTGATGGAATTGTTTCAGGAGTTGAGTGTGACAAGTAATGGCACTCCATGCAGTCATGCCGGCCACATGACCTAGGAGGCGCCTATGGACAACACCACTCCATGCAGTCATGTTGGCCCCGTGAAGTAGGAGGTGTCTATGGACAATGGCAGTTCTTTGGCTTAGAAATGAAGATCATCCCTCAGAGTCAGATTTGAGTAAAATTAATGTCAAGGGGAAACCTTTACCTTTAACTTCCTAAATGCTATAAAGATACTATCTGTCAGGACATCTGTTTAAATGCTTTAGTATTCATTCTGATTATTCCTTTAATTATTTCTGCTTTGATCTCATTTTTAAAAACTTGGGTTGTATCAGGATATTGCATTGTTGAGTTGTGGTCGGTCTATCAGGATATTGTTTATCAACAAATAAGGTGCTAATCTTCTGTTTAATATCCACACATGCAGGCTCTTTAAAAGGAGATTTATATTATATTGAGCTGCAACTAGAATTTTTACTGTACTGTACACATTATGGTGATATTATTTATTAGGTCATCCAAGGGATACAATACACATTACACCATGTTTTAATGCTCAATAGTTCAACCATACATGGCTTCAAAATATTCCTTTAAAAATTCAAAAAAAGGTAAATCTTGATTTTATGTAAGGGATGCCATTTTGCTATGCTGCTGTATATAACGTGCCTTGGCATCCACAGGGGTCCTTGAACCAAACCCCAGCAGATTATCTGTTACCATTTACTTTCCAAATAAAGGCGTTAAATCTATTATATAATATTGCCATGTAAAGCAAGAAAGAACAGCTGTGAGGTGGTTGAAGGCACTATTGCAATTCAGTGAGGGATTTCTAAGGTCAGTCCGGGGAACACATTAATTGGACAGTGATGGAATCCTAGCTCTCTTGGATGCATCTTCTGGCTAAGGACAAACAAAGGGCACCATCCCTTACAGCTGTCACTTGGTAACCTTCTTGCAGCCATTTCATCCAGTTAAAGTGCATAAAGGAAGAGAAAAGTCATCTCTTTGAGAGCCTTGCTTGTTCTTTTGCCCTTATGATTCTCTGAAGTGCAGCAGCTTGATGAACCTTTACATAGACTTGTTAAAAAAAGTGATAAAGATCCAACCAGGAACAAATCTGTGGCATGTACAAGAATGGCTACAATTTATTACCATGTTATGGCAGCACTGAGTTACTGCCATGGTGACAAAAGGCCATGTTTTTTGCAAGGGGAGAGGAACCGTCCTGCATCCATGGGAAACTGCTTGTTTCCTGCGGGTCACTGCCAAGATCCCTCATTATCAGGAACCGATGGTATGAAAGGAATGTGGGCTTATCTTTAAAGGAAAGAAAGACATTCTACTAAATTAACCTTTGAAAAATGTCAGTACAAACTAGGTCTTAACTTCAATAGATGCATCCACTTCTTCAAAGAAGTTAAGGTGTACACTATCTGGTTGGTCTTTTTTAGTCGTGTCAGAAGCAACTTGAGATAACTGCAAGTCACTTCTGGTGTGAGAGAATTGGATGTCTGCAGAGACATTGCCCAGGGGATGCCCTGGATGTGTTACCATCCTGTGGCAGGCTTATCTCATGTCCCCGCATAGGGAGCTGGAGCTGACAGAGGGAGCTCACCCCATCTTGCAGATTTGAACTGCTGACCTTCAGGTCAGCAGTTCAGCCACTGCAGCTCCTATCCGGTTAGTCTGGTTTATATTATCTGTATAAGAGCCAACATGGTTTGAGCACTGGACTTTGGAGACATAGAATGCATCTACACTGTAGAATGACTGCAGTTTGACCCACTTTAATTGCCACAGCTCAATTTTGTGGAATCATGGGAGTTGTAGTTTAGCGAGACACCAGCACTCTTTGACAGAAAAGGCTAAAGATCCTGCAAATCTACAACTTTATGTATGAATTTCTCCTTGGCCACCGTACCCACTGGGAGTGCCTCTACACTTCTGAATTAGTGCAGTTTGACACCAGTTTAAATGCTGTGACTGACTGCTATGAAATCCTGGAAATTTTGTGCCCCTTCTACACTGCAATATAATCCAGTTTTTCTGAATGTAGATTAATTGCATTAAACTGGATTATATGGTAGTGCAGACTCATAGAATCCAGTTCAAAGATCTTGAATTGCATTCTGAAACTGGATTATATGACAGTATAGATTAGTGGTTCTCAACTCGTGAGTCCCCAGGTGTTTTGGCCTGCAACTCCCAGGAATCCCAGCCAGTTTACCAGCTGTTAGGGTTTCTGGGAGTTGAAGGCCAAACATCCGGAGACCTACAGGTTGAGAACCACTGGCATATTGACCATGAGGAAGTCACTAAATGACGGCGGAGAACTATCACAGAATTTAAAAGCTGTAACTTATTCTTTGTTGTAGATATTGAGGTGGTAATAAGGCAGGTTGAAGGAAACACCTGTTTTGTACCAGAGATCAGTGTTCTGCATCATTGGTGTGATGGAGTAACTGTTTTAGGCTGCATCTACACTGTAAAAGTAAGGCAGTTTTGCACCACTTTAACTGCCATGGCACAATGCTATGGGATCCTGGGATTTGTAGATTGGTGAGGCACCTGTACTCTTTGGCAGAGAAGGGGAAAGATGTAAAAAAAGACAGCTAAAGGCAGCTGTTTCTCCCTGCAATGCTGGTATGCAATAACCCAACCTAAAATAAAGATTGCTCATTCTTCTCAAAAATAAGCTACACCCATCTCATACATCTTAATCTTTATTAATTGCTAAATTGTTCCCCAGATTTGCCTATAGGAGAATATGTAACTTGTTATGCATCTGCACAATATATTTTACATGGATTCCATTTCTCTATTGTTCCCACTGGTATTTGACTAATTAGTACTGTTTTTAAAGGAGTGAAATCCCTGTGTTACAGAACAGCCAAGAATGAAATTACAATTAACCCAACCCAATTGCTAACCCAGATTTAGTAATGAAGCTGAGCTAAATCTTTGTCAAACAGATATGAATATGTCAAATGCAGCACATAAATACTT